TGGTCTTGTGTGTGGTCTTGTGCCTGGTCTTGTGCCTGGTTTTGTAAAGGTCTCGACTACAACACTGCCAATTAAAACTGCAGAGATTCTTCAGAAGTTTGATTTCCTTTTTAATGTAACCCCACATTTGAGAACCAGGAGGTGAAATCCACCCTATCCCCTAACAGATTTTTTTTTTGTTATTTTGTTGCCAAGCATTGCTTTTTTCAAACTAAGTTTTCCTAGTTATTGTATGTCTTTCAATCATTTTGGCATCAATTTTATGAAATCATACTGTTCTCTTCGGACATATCCTTCTGACAAAGTGCCCATTTGTCCAGGCAGGTCAGTCAAAAATTGTTTGCTCCCCCATTGACGCGCTCAATTCACGTGAACACGTGAAGCCATGAGTTATAAATGACCATAAAAACACTGCATGCCAGATTGAGTACGGCCGTTTCACAATAGTGCGCCACAAAGAGTTTGCAACGCGTTGGCCTATCACAATGCGAGAGATTTGTCGACCCAATGCGCGTTTGGATAGGGTCAACAACTTCGCGCGTTATGATTGGCCAACGTGTTGCAAACTCTCGGTGGCGCACTATTGTGAAACGCCCGTATTGATGCATCACATGTATATACATGTATTCATAGTAATATATTCATGTATTCATGTCTTTGGATGTATGCTACATTTCAAAACGATTAGACATGGGACGGCAAAGATGAGGTATGTGGAAACAGTCCCACTTGTATCGGCTGGCCCTAACAGTCCCAAATCCTCCAATTTCAATATGATTTTACATGGGAGCCTACATCCTAGGGGGTTAGGGTTAAGTGTATAGAATCTCCGGACGCACCCACAGAATGATGAAAGTCAAACGGTTCTTGAAACCTCCTTGATGTCTGGAAAATGTCTTGTTGAACTTGTTCAAAGACATATTTCAAAAACGAGTCGTAAAGTTGGAGTGTTTTGTTAAATCTAGTTCATTGGTGTATAATTGACGACTAAAATATTTGGTCTGTTTTCCCCTTCATTCAGAGTGTTCCAGACGGCTTTTTCTTCTGTGATTTTCTTAATTATACTTACCTGCCAACCTGTTTACCGATACCTCCTCTAGTTTATACCCAAGTTACACTCCAGCAAGTTTCTAAAGGTGTTGTTCAATAGTGGGAAACTCTTTAATGTAAGAGAAACAGGTACCAATAACCCCCTCTCAGCAGGAGATAGGCTTGTTTAAATGCTTCAAAGAAGAACTCTTATACTAATGGCTATGTGTCTAATCAAAATGTGATTTCAGGATTCTTGTCAGCATTCGTCCTTTCTCGCTCTTTTCCTACTGCTGGTTCTTTTGTCCCCAGACAAAATAACCCACTCCTCAGGGCCAAACCCATAAAAGTTGTGAATTAAACCCGTTAATAATATGACAAATCACTTCAGATCTAGCAGTGCCCAGACAAGAAAGACTAAGCGACCAAAGTGGCAGTCGGCATGTCCTCTGCGGTAGGGTTGCATTTAGATCAAATGACCAACCAACCTCCACCCTTCAGCACCCCCCCCCTCAGCACCCTCCTCCAACTGGTCCTTGATAGAAGTAGCACCTGATTTTATGCCCTATCAATTCCTAATGCCTGTTTATCTCCTAGGTCTCAATTCTGTAGGATCAGGCTTGTGTGATGTACGAGAGCAGACCGTATCACAGACTTTGACTTCAAGAGTCAAGGAAAGTAAAGCTCTCCTGAACCCACCTCCAACCCCAGTTTCCCAAATAAACCATTTTTATTCAAATAGAAACTTGAAATGTTGTGTCATTCAAGGATCAATTTGTAATGTGTGTATTTCTGGAACAACCAGTGAGTGAAAATTGCACATGTACGTGTGTGTACATCTACCCATGCTTCCTTATGAACCGATGGCTAAATGATTGGGACAGCTGATGGAAGCAAGGTTTCCAGAAAAAAGCCTTTATTTCTGGCTTTTATTCATTAAATGTTTGGCTAACATCAGGCCTTAACAAAAAAGATACCTCTTGGCAAGAATCTGAAAAGGGAAAGATAGTGTCCTCCTGTTAGCATCCTTCCTCCCCCAGGATTGTAATTCCCTGGCTAGACCATGTGCATTCCCAAGCTATTGGATAATGTAATACCCCCCCCCATGGTGAGTCTCCTTCATCTCTCATTCACCTCTTCGTAAATTTATTCCATTACAACATGTTTTTGAAATCCATGTCTTGAGTGGTTTGGACTGTCACTGAGAATGGTGGTTGGAATTCATTTCTCCCTTCATGCAGTAGAATCGTGATCAACATAAGCAAGCTGCATCATCACACCGGACACCAAATGTGACCACTGAATCGTCTGTCTGGTGTCTGAAACGTTCAAAGTGACATCACAAACATCACTTAACACATTTGGACTGGAAAAAAACTGGCTTTCCTTTCCTAAAGGAGGCTTTGTGCTAAAGCTCTGAAATCCTCAGTCTTTTTTTGTCTGTCTGTCACAGCATCTGAAAGCCACATGTCGCCTGCAATTCATTCAACCTCTACCCCAGTCAAAAGATCAACATTACCACCACTTTACCTTAAAGCCAAATTGGGAGGTAATTAGAAAAAAAAGAAATAACTCTGAATACTTACTAAGATCAGTTTGGATGGAATTGCTCAAAGAGGAAGAGTTCTAAAGGTCAATTTTTTTTGTTTTCCTGAGGCAACGTGCCTGAACAAGAAAGTCACCAGGATGGGGAAAGCTGGTTGTTTTGTTGAATGATAGTCTTCATTCTTCCCTGGGGAGACATTCTCGAGGGGACAGGTGGAACAATGGTCCGCCAAGGCCCCCTGTCACTTTGAAGGGTTTTAATCCCAGTAGGCTGTATTATCGGGCTGGTGTGTCCGGGCTGTTGTATCACTTGGTGTGTTAATTTGTATGGGTATGTACATGGTCTGGTGGGCCTATTGGCAGCCTGTCTTCCCTGGAAGGCCAAATTAACAGCTCTGAGGATTTTGAAATCCCTGGCTGAGGTTCTGGAAAGGAGAGGAAACAGTATGAAAAAGCAATTGTGTGACGCTTGCCTTGATGAGCAGCAAAGGGCCCACTGTTACTGCATTTGTATTCATAGCTGCACGTGTAATGCAGGTGCACTAACAAGCATGCTTATGCCGATGCATCTACATGTACTTGCAATAAGTTTTTTCTCATAGTACCATGATTTCCCTGTCCATTCAAGTGTGAGGCGGCCCACCTCATTGATTTTTAGCGACCACCTCTGGCTTTTCTGTTGAATTTTACCACCTCGCACTTAAAATAGACCATAATGGAGGGAAAAGGCAAAATAACTTAGATATTTTGAAATAGATCAGTTTTAAATCGTTCAGAATGGTAAAGGAGACAGATAAGAATACAAGATCAATTTATTTTCGTGTGGAAATTTGGAGTGAATACAAAATTTGTTTCAGGCCTTTCAAAAACACTCGCATTGAATTATGCACTCTGAATGCAATGAGCACCGGGTGCTGATAAAATCTGATTTTAAAAAATTTATATGCCGCACATATGTGCATATATTTGCATTGTTTGGGCAGAACTTATTTCCTGTAAGTTTTTTGCATATCAGCTTTGTTGACGCAGTGTTTAAGAATACAGACGCAGATATGAAAAAGGAGTACAAAATTCGGGTTTCCCATAAAAGATTTCAAGTAAGCTTGTGATTCTTTCACAAGCTCGCGGACAAGCACCGAGTATACAGTGTTTATGAATGTATGTCGGGTAATTTAAAATTGACATCTCCCCAATGCAAAGTATGTATATCTTGAAAGAGTTTTTCCATAGGTTTGTGCACAAACATGGATGCGCCCAGCAGGCATCACTTTGTACATAGGCCAGCGCTCTAGTTTTATGTATACATTGTAGCTCTATGGGTGAAGTATTTCAATCCCTGGTGTGATTAATACAGAAATTGAGAGTGTTACAGGCAAAGTAAGCACACAAAGTCTACTTTGATATAAGTATTAAAAACTTCCAATGTAAAAGGAATCTCGGTGATGAATTTCTCTCTTTGCTTTCATTGATTCAGCTGTGCAGGGCCGGTCAATCGCTGCGAACATCTTCAACTCGAGAGATACTGACGAGGAGTCAACCTCAGACAGACAGGAAGGAGGACCCAGACGAGCTCCCACTGTTGCTTTGGTAATGCAGTCAGTGACGTTACTGACATTTTTGCTGTTGGCCGCAACTCTCATTGCATTCATGCTTTGTGACATGTCATACAGTTATTTTCATGGGGATGGTTTCTTCCACACTGTTGGTCTTTGAACTGGAGTTACCGAAAAGACGATTTTGTACTTCTGAATGAATCTGATTTCCTGGCATTAATACTGGTTTATTATTTGACCATCTCCGATATAGTTTGGCAACCCCACGGTTGAATTCTTTTTCTTTCCATATTTCCAGGCTGCTTCAAGCATTGCTCCCCTTGTTCACACAACCACAGTCCCCCAGAGTGAGTTCAACAATTCCCCCCTGCCTACTAACAGCGGGCACAACCTGGCTGGGCTGGGCAGGGGGCTTGGGGTACCCCGTGGGAGCAAACGACCTGGACTAGGAATGCCTGCCGTTGGTGAGTTTCAAAGTATTCTTGCCAAGTTATTGATGCCTTTTGTTTGCACTGAGAGGTTTCCCATTATCAACTCTCTGTTTTGAAGAAAGGATTGTGCTTTGACTGAAAATTTGAATTTTTGAATCTTGTGGGCAGGGTGGTATGGTGGCTCTCAAGGGACATTGCCAATAATCAATATTCACATCCAAAATTCAGGACTTGCCCATGGTCGCACATATTGACGGCAGTATTCAAGTCCGCAATCTATGGCTCACTCGAGATTTTTCTCCCAGTAAGCCAGGTAAAGCATGTCCATGCTAAGTTCAGATTCCAAGTAAGGGTCAAGGGTTACTAGCTTGATATGCCACACACAGTGTGTGTGTTCAGGCTGCCGTGATCATGTCAACCTCACGTCACGCCTACCTCATTGGAAATGAATACATGACAATATTAGCAACCTGGAGAGTGAGTCATGAATTTTGGAAATAAATATTGACGCCAGTTAAGGGTGGGACGTTTACACATTTAAACAGAAATTCCAGATCAGTTTACAGATTTTATCCGAATATTTAACGGAACCGCCCCTTTTAGAAGTTTGACGTTTTGACGCAATCTGGCATTCATTTTTATTGTAAACGATGCCTTTACATACTGTTTTTTCCCCTTTTGGCATCCATGTTCTTTTTGAGAAAAAAAGGGGATTTTAAAACAATGAACATTACTTGTTTTATATGTCCCAACATCAATCTACATTTTACATAGTCTGGACCATGTGCATTATTGAACTGTATAATTATGCATATGAAAACACCGAGGTAGGCAGCGGTGGCCTCTTTAACGTTTTGGCCAAATGTTTGAATAAAACAGTATGGGAAAATTTTTGTAAACTTACAAAATAAAACAACTTACACAAATTAAACATAAATCCCCACCCTTATTTAACACAAATATTTGTATTAAACTGAGGGCAGGTCGTGAATTTTGGAGATGGTTGTTATTATTAATGCCAATATTTGCAACTTGGGGCGATAATATTGGATGTGAATGTTGACGTCAGTATTGACAATGGGTGATGTTGCTTCAGAGCCACCATAGGATGGTTTATGTGGATCAAGCAGGAATTTCTCTACATTTTTGTTTAAAAATTTTTTTGTTCAGCCAGCAAATTCATTACAAATTTGGACAAACTAATAATTAGTTTCCAAGTACAGTGGAACATCGCTATACCAAACACTGCTATACCGAACATTCAGCTGTGCCGAACATCGTCCTTGGCTCTCAATATTTTGTGCACAAAACCTACCGAACATTATGCTGTTGGAAATCAACCAAGATTCGCCACAGCATGCATCAGAGATCGATCCTGAGTGGTAGCTTCACGACTTTTAGGATAAACTAAATATCAATTTTGTAACTCAAGATTTAATAAAAAACAAAAAGAATTAACAGATCCATTTCTAGACACCTCAAACATGAATGCAATGACAAAACATCACAAAAACAGCAAACTCAGAGTATCACAAGAGAGTGCACTTCAGTTAGACAAGAGAGGGCGCTATCCAACCTGGCAACAAATTGTTCAGCAATTAATTTCGCTATACCAAACGACCGCTGTACCGAACATTTAGCGTGGATCCAGTTGTGTTCGTTATAGCGGCGTTCCACTGTATTTCTCCTTCCGATGGATTTCTTAATGTGTAGTTATTGCACACTTGAATATCAATTCAAATTAATCGTGTGTTTACACTCGTTTTACTTGATTCCCCCCCCCCTTCCAGGCCTGCAGTCTAGCACCCAGACACCAGGCTACCCTTGGACCCAACCATGACGCAAAGGAACCCTGACTATAAGAACAAGATCTGCTCAAAGGAGAGCTGATTTGTGTTCTTACTTGAAGATTTTCTCAGAGCAACATTAAGCAGAATGGAGTGCGGGAAGAGGTGGTCAGGATTGACTGTTAAAATAAGCAGGGAACAGTCGCAGTCAACCAGAGACAAAAAAGAGGAAACTATCACATGTGGTGTTCCTTTCTTCAAATATAAGAATGGACTGAGATGGGAGAACAGAATCATCCGTTGATGTAGCAAGGGATGTACATTATCTTTGAATGGATATTTATTTCATTGTAACTGGGCATTTCATTGCAGAGACAGGCATTTTCAAAGTCAGGTTTGAGGGTAAGTGCATATTAAAAGGAAGCTTGTTTTGGTCGTATTTAATTTTGACAGTCATCGACAGCCATTTTTAGAATTTACTGGTGATTTCCAGAAAGGCTTGCCTTGTCTTGTGTAGTTTATTTCAGATTTGTCAGAGTTATGGAATATTATAAGAGAAATCTTCATTTGACTTTAGGCTTGAGTGACTCGGAACTGGATTCAACTATGGAATTCAGGATAGGGATTTCTTGAGTCGTCAGTGGTCGAGTCATGGTTGCTGGTTAGTAGGGTTCAGTTCAAGACTGCTCAAAGCAAACTTTGTTTTGCGTGTTACGACACTTAAGGGTGTAGGTCACATCTGTTAATGACCCAACATTGACAACTTTATTCTGTCATTTATTTGGGACTTAAGACTTGGAGCCTGTTTTCCCAAAGAAGTTTGAAGTCAATTTCGAAATCTGATTCCGAAGTAGAATTTAAAGTGAATTTCAAAAAAAAGGAGTCACCTAAGCCTACTTAGTAGCCAAACCATGTCCTGTTAGCAGGACACAGAAAATCACTAAGAATTATTTGCTTCCGCCAGAATATACAACAATTCTCATGTAGTCTCTCCCCTAAATCAGTGATCAACACTAGCATGCTTGGTCCATGGTCTGTAGTTATTATTGATTTTTTTTTTCACTGGAGTTGAAAAAACAACCTGAGAGGAAGTTTCCCAGGGGATTAGCTCGGACTTATGCTAAATGTTGAATAATATAATTTTCAGACTGTACAGGCAATTTTGACTGTTTCAAGTTTTATGTTTGATTTTTAATTGTTTTACACGCTTACATTTATAGCACTTTTTTGCCTTAGTTTAGCCAATACTCACGAAACGTTAAGATATCAAGTCTGTCATTTAAAAGGTGGGCTACGAGTAAAGGAATTCGGATGTAAATGTATTGAAAAAAAGAACAGAGGTGTTAACCAGAAACGTGCACAAAACAATAACAGAGATTGGACACAATACAGCACAATTTCAGTGTTGTAAATGATTCAAAAAGTGAACTTCAGTTCTATTTATAAACTGGAGGGACGGTTTTTAATTTTTACCTCGTTCGAGCCTTTGTCTCAGCGCAGACTTTCAAGAAAATCCCACTTGCGTTTGATCTTTCATTTGTTCCTGGACTCGTTGAGCCCAGACTCCCAAGGTATGGATGTGGGTCATGAAAACATGATGATCAGGAAGGATCAAAGTTCAAGATAGAGAATGGATCATGTCAGAACAATAAATCCAGTACGACCTTCAACCTAGTTTTCCAGTTTTCGATTGAAATACACATTTGCTGAACTGTCTTAACCCAGATTTATTTTAGTTCTACAAAATCATTACCAACATTTTGAGAGGAAGAATAAAAAGTTTGAGAAAAGTATTCTGTATTTAAGATAACCCAGCTTTTTAAGGAGTTAATGCATTTTCATGTTGAATTTTTTCTTTGTTCTTTATACAGTGTGGCATGTTAATTTTATAAAGACATGGAAAATTTGAAATGTTGGCAGATTTAAGCCTTGGAAATGTCAGCTCAATACTTGAGGAATTCAGGGCAAAAGAGTTTCTTCACTTTGTTTAGAACACAAGCTAGAACATACCCAAGACGAGAGAATATTTTCTTTATCAAATTGCGTGCAGATTTGAATTTTAAACCGTTTCCAGAGGGATTTGTCCTCTCTTTGGACCTCCAAGATTCCTTTTAAAACACATGCAAGAAATTTGTTAATGGTACCGAGCAGACAAAATGGAAATAAGATCTCTGCAGATTGTTCAAGTTGAATGATACCGATTCATTGTTTTCATGCATGGAGAATGGCGTAAAATAATTATTTTCTGAAACATTTCATAGTGTGGCATTTTTAAATGTTGGCATCATAATCTAGCAGGTTTAAATTGTTTTGTGTGTTTGTAATAATAGGAAGGCTGATAAGGATATATATATGTCTTGTGTTGTAATCGCTCATCTCTCATACTGTGTTAAAATTTGTCTCTTCCTCTGTGTTATTTTGCAGTGCTGAAGTCCAGTCCGTCACAAGTCCCTTCAATTCCAGCACAAGTTCCCCGATCTTAAGCGAAGTCGCAAAACAGTTAGATAAACTGTGACGAAAGCATTCATTTATCATTCATAATGACTGGTCTTGTAAGAGACTTGTGGCGGACTCGATACAGTGCTTGTGTGAGAGTGTTGTCGGTTTCATCTGTTGTTTATAAGTATTTTTAGAAGCATATTTTTGTAATTCTGATTAAAATGTCTTCGCTTTATTCATAATAAAGTGAAGTCTTACGTTGCTTTAACTTGTTGTAAATTATTTTCTAATTGTTGACAATCCTGCTGCGTTAAATCTACTCAGGTGCCAGTGAACTATTCAGGTATTTCAAAACGGCAAGGTTATTCGAGAACACAGCACGCGTCCGAGTTGGCGTATGGCCGCGCTGATGATAAGGCTGCACATGCGCGCGCGTGCACAGTTCCGTATGACCACGGATGCGTTTCGTTTGGGGCATGCGCTGTCTGAATTTCGCTTGTCAAATTAACGCGCCAAACATAAATCAGCTTGTGACCACTCTCTAGCAATGCGGATCGTAGGCTTATGACATTTTTACAGGCAACCTGAATTTGCGCAGGAAATATTTTTGTACGCAGCAATTCACCTGCTGATCCAGAGCCAGGGGGGGGGCGAAATGGTTACATAATAGTTTGGGGCCAAAAGTGGTAAGAATAATAGTGCAGTTTGGACCACCGTATAAGTACCGCTCCATGTTTTCTTGAAGGACCTTCCTGTTGCGATTCACGGGTCTTGGATGTCTCGTTGCTTGCGTTTGATCAACACCTGTTATGAAAGACCACGTCTGTCAAAGGAAACGTGACAGATGAACACAGAAGTAGCATTTGGAGGAGTTTTCTCAGGGTTTGTGAAAGGATCGTGTACAGTCAAACCATGGTCAAACTAGATGATGGATTTGACATTTCCTGCTGAATATCAGTCCGTTAGGTCTCTTGTTTTGTGACGTGGGGTGGTGACATACGGTAAAACACGAAAAGTTGAGAGTATGAATGACACCAGCAAGATATAATTGGTATTAAAACGGACGTGTTTCTTTGTTAGCCCAAAGTATCTTGGCGAATTTCAAAGGTTGTTGGTATCAAAATTTAGCATGCTGTCAGACAGAAAAGGAAGTGATCTGTGAAATAAAGTCGTAATGGCCTCCAGACCTAAAGCCAACATCAAATTTTACAAACTGAGCATCATTTGTATTTTTTCTAATTAAGAGGCTTGTAGACTTTGCTAAAAATGTGACCAGGACCCGCGCCACCCCCTGTGAAAGTGTACGACTGGCACACCGTAATAGCCTGGCATCTCGGCAAAGTGTGCATTTCAGCAATGACCGCTTCGATTTACGTCGCCGTGGGGTCGATACACACGTTGGAAATTGGTACATCGGAGAGCTTTGTCAATGAGGCCAGGGATATTTGGCAGCTATTAATTAACATTATTTGCTGGCGATAGATAGATAGGTTCATGATTTTTGTGCACACGTGTAATTATAAAACACGAATTCCACATTTTTCGTCCAAGATCTCGGCAGTTTTCACTTTGCACGTCAAACGAGGCATTCGTGAGACTTTGGCATCCCCACTCTTTGTTTCTCCATCTTTATCTTTTCAATGCATGCTTTTGCTTTCAACATGGACAAGTGCCTTAGAAAAAAAAAACAAAAAAACGAAGGCCTACTTCTACGCACGCGGGTGCTCAGGGGGACTTTCAGGTTCCCCAAAGTGGCATAATGCTGGCTCCAAGATGGCAGTTATGGCCGTGGGGTGCATCTGCCCTTGGAGAGGTGACCGAAACTGGGAAGGTGTGAGACAGCAGAGGTTGTGGGATCTCCTCCTACGTTATTTGGGGGGGATCAATAGCTATTTGTTTCTGTAACAGGTCCTCACAGAGTGTCGCCAACGGCAGGTATGCCTAAGTATCAAAGAACCAAATGACGTCAAGACGGCTAACGTGTAAAGGCGTTCCCAAAGGATAGCCAGTGCAATCTCTTAATTATATCATACGGCTTACTGACGCTTCGAGCTGTGTTTGTTCCTGGAAATGCTTCAAAGGAGGGGTGCCAAAGTCGAGGGAAAAAGAGCAAAGGAAAAACATAGGTTATGGAAGTTTACAGTGTCTTGGAACAAAGGCTACGAACTTCCTTTTTACTTTGGTGACTTCTATAGTTCCTTGTACTTTTTTGTGTAATCCTGATGCTGCGTTGTTATACTGCGGCATTGTGTCGAGAAATCGTTCAACACTAACACACTTTCAAAAACTTGGCTTCGTTTCGGTTGCTGCTCGAGGTTTCTAGGCACTAGACATTGCTACATAATTATTTTGTATATATTGTAACGGGCCGGGCCATTGGGTCATTAAGATACAACCAGAGAAGGCACACTGACTTCGGGGGTGCCTCCCTGATTTTGTTTGAAAATACACAAATAGCAAATAACTATTTACATGAATAATCAAAGGCAAAAATTAATAAAAGCGGATAAACTACAAATTGGGTACCACTTGCAAGAAATATCAGACTGGTGCAGGCGCGAGGCTGCAGGAGAAAACCAATCCCCCAACGTAATGGTGACTACAAAAAGAAAGAAAACGAAAGAACGGGGAACGCCCCAATGCGCACACCTGCACCTGCACAGTGCACCCGACCAGAAAAGGAACCAAATGAATTTAAGCAGAGTAAGAACATCACAGACCTTTTTTTCTCTTCCAGGTCTATGGAAATATGCTGCAGGTGGCGAATAGATAAATCAATGGCATTGTTTCAAATTTTGGCCTCCACATTGAAGATTTGATGCTCTTGCAAGAAAAGAGACATTATAATGGAATCTCTGAAAGGGAGAATATATCGAGCTGGAACTTGTGGCTCAAGCTAAACAGAAGACAAATGGCTTACCACTGAGCCCAACAGGGGCTGTACAATTAAGAATTACGCGTGACAGAAATGTTTGACTTCGCTCAAAGACAAATCTGGCTAGGCTAGAATTAGGAGGAAAGTCTGCACCTCGCTGCACTTTGCTTTGTCAGCTGAATAATGCTGCAGTAATTCTGGCATCTAAACGCGTTAGACTGGTGCTGAACTTCGCTTTAGGCATGTAAAACTTTCTAATCGACGTCTTGTAAGAATCCCTGTCAACTGAAAGTCAAAATGGAGCTGCTAGACTGAAAGACATTGTGAGCGAGTTAACATGTTTTAGTCATTAGCACAAAGTAACACGCACAGTTTCACACAATCAAAAATATACATATGCATTACGGTATTGTTCTTTGGGGGTAGAAATTGCGCATGGACACTCATGTTTGTCTCTGTCTCCTTAGACCGCAAACAAGAAAGGACTCCAACCTGAATCCAACAGTCCATGCCTGGATGCACTGACAGACACTCTTAAGCATTGTCTCGGGCATTGGACAGACTTCCTTTGATAGCTCCGACAATCCGTGCCAACCGGCGGTGGCGTGTACTCACAGGTGCCACCGCCCGGGGCAAGGCTGCTACGGGCGGTTGAAGCATCCTCCGAAAGAGCATGCCCAATATAAACTCGTCGAATGCGACAGTGCAAGGCGCATATTGTCTTGGGGTTGGGAGAGGGACAAAGTGGAAGTTTTCCCTCCAAAAACATTTGAAGCAAGATATGGGACGGAGAGAACTCCCCGCCTTTGTGTAAGTCATTGTTTGATCGGAATCTCAGGAATTCTTTACAGACTTCTGGGGGGGGGATGTGTTAGGTAACAATAGTCTAGAGTGTGTATAGGGATTGGACAGGTAAGGGGGGTACCCCTCCGTCCCATATCTTGCCAGGTATATCCAAAAGCAACTTTTGTCCCCCATGTAAAGGCCAGTTCACACCAACGCAAAATTGTGAGGATGAGAAAGTTAAACCATATTTCAACTCGAGCCAAATCTCTCTTCGAACTTTTCGTGACGTCAATATCGCTTCGCCATCGCATTCGCCTGAAATACGAACCGACCGTCAGAATCCTCTAATCCCCCTGGAGTATGTCGGGGGAAAGCCCCCTAGCCCTCTGGATACCCCCTCTGAAAACCGGCCTTGTTTTATCATGCTTGTTAATTTATCACCCAGTGCAATAAAATAAAATAAAAAAGAATGAGTAAAAGGGTATTTCAATAAATTCCATCAGCTGATTAAAAAGAAATCTAGTATTTCTTCAGAGGACAAGTGAGTTCGATGGTTAGATTGGCATACTATTTAATAGTACTAATGTTAATATGTTTTTATAAGGATGATGTCTCAACATTCTGATTTTCGTCCATTTCAGTTACATGTAGTATCGATTTGATGAGCCAAACATACTACCATACGTCCTTTATTATACTCGTTATAAGTTTTGTTGGAAATCCGGTTGGCCTCACCAGTGTACAGGCCTGCATAGCAAAAACACCAGCGAATTTCGTAGCATCAGAAAATATGCACGGATCTTACGAAACCCAGTAACTCCGTCTCTGGGTGGATGATGGACACCAATATGGCATTGTCAGGTGGTTTCCGGCTGCCTCCCTCAACCTTCACCGGTCATTCCCTTCCCCAACTTGCTTACGCAGATTTACGCCACTGCGCAGCCATAATTTGTGTAAAAATGTCTGCCGTTGGATACAGTGGCTGCGACAAGGAATGTGTTGGAACAATGAAGCGGTAAGGCACCCCTGGTAAATGCTAGTCATATCAACATAAACAAGCAAAAAAAGACAAATGTTTCCAAGACGGAAGCAGGAAACGAATAGCGAACAACCCAAAGTGTCAGAATTAGACGGAAAGGACGGTTTTCGTTCAAGTCTCATTTATATATGTATTTTTTACATAAAATTAACATAACATAAAAACATTGTCTGGAATATTTTCTTTCTGAGAAAGGCTACAATGCCTGCCAACGTTTAACAGCCTTCCGCAACAAAATCTCAGCTAAATAAACGGAGTGATTGAATGCAGCCAGGAACTTTGCCATGGGCTCTCAAGACTTCTCTCGTACCCAACAAAAAACTTCGAGAGCTCTTTTCTGCGGCCCATTGTTCAATGCAAGCGTCTACTAATTCCGTGTTCAAACAGCTTTGTTAATTGCTCGGTAAATTCTTGCGTGGCACGACAATAACCCTTGGCGATTTTATGCGTACACACTCCACCACGTAACTCCACTATAGGCAAATCACACACACTTGGGAAACCCTTAGAGAGTTCTTGTGGAGTCGCTCAGGCGTTTTTGTTTATAGTACCACTGACAACTCTTCAAACATTCCTTCAGAAGAATTTGACAGGTTGGCCAACAGAAAATGAATGACACGGCAGGAATGACGTCGAGTAGCGGGGAACAGTAATATGCATAATTACTAACACCTCGCGGGAAAAAAACACAGGGGAACCTGCATCATTCTAACCTCCTGTTAGTGAACTGATTGTACATGTATGTACGTTAATCTCTTCCTTAGTAAAAGATGTTTATATCATATCCATCTTCGGGACGTACATGTATATACAAGTACAACCCAGTTCTCTCTATCTTTGGCATGGAAAGATGGCGGAACTAGGGCCATATGGGAGGGGGGCGGGGGCAATGTTGTTAATTTTTAACGCAAGCTTTTCTTCCTTTTCCAGTACGTGAGTTTAAATTTTGAATCTTTTAGTGCTCTGGGGGGAGGGAAATCCCTGCTTTGTCTAAAGAACCAAGCACATGGTCTACTTTTACCCTGGTCTAGTCATTTTCAACCCGAGTGTCCCAAATGATATGATGTGAACATTAAAACAAATATCCTCAGACTGTTTTTGTGAGCAAAATACTGAAAAACAAACATCCAAAAAAGACGTACCGTAACGAAACTACTAAAACAATACGCACAGCACACAAGACGGAATGAAAGCACATACACACGTGCCCACACACACAGACTGGTTCCCGTCCCGGCCCTACGTTCAGCAGGAGACTACGTAGGGAACGGGAACCAGTCTAGTGTGCGAATTCCGCTACTCACAACCTTATCTCCATGGTGTCAAGCAGTATGGCTACTCTGGATTGGAAATAAAGTAACAACTTGGAACTAGGTTGTATCATAGAGCTACAACCCAGCTCTATGGTTGTATCATGCTACATTGACTAGTCTTCATTCCAGCATCGATTTCATTGTTTATTGCCAAAAATCTCAACATTACTGTGTTGTATTTATATCAGTGGTTGAAGATTTGACCGAGAATATGGCATCCAAGACAAAGACCGGTGCTTTCGAGACCGAGACCGGCCCTCCCAAGACCGAGACTTCGACAGGGCGAGACCGAGCCCGCAAAAAAGGTCTCGAGACCGAGACCAGGTCTCGAGACCTATAACTCGTATGTACACACGTTAGTCGTGAACTTTTCGAAGTACATGTAGTTTGAACGCATCCTGGTGAATTTTGTCGATCTCCGATGCTGAAGACTCTTGCCCATGGTGTCATCTTCGTATCAAGAAACATAGTATCTCCCCTTTAGATGCGCCAGTGTTGACGTGAAACCTTGTGTTTTGGCGGTTCATTATACATGTACGTTGTATTGGAAGTTGCATCGCCCAAATACGCCACGGCCTACTGAACTGGATACTCTTTGACAACCAGTTGGAACCACCGAGATACAAACGTGTACATCGACCCACTCTGCATTGGAATGTGTCAAGATTGTCAATTTCTGGACCTGTCAAAAAAATTCCTTGAAATCCTCGAGTCACTTCACAGTGCCAAACTTTGCTGTTTAGCCACATCTATTGTGGTTCTAACAATAGCAACTGTGTATGGCTCAAATTACCCTAGCGCCCTGAAATCCGATTTGGAAACGAATCCAAATTTTCCGGTCTCAAATCGTTGCACGCACGGCGCCTGGAATCTTTTTTTCCGCGGAAAAGAGCGTTACAGGAATCGCCAGTGTCCAGTTTCAATGGCACCGCGGTCGATGCCTATTTTTATCCACTGTCCACAAAAGAATCGGGGCCATTGTTGATTCTAGCAGGGTCTAGTGTTTGTGGATTAGACAATGGGAGGGCTGGACGGCCTTCTGTAATTTACAGGGAGTGTTCGAAAGCACCAAGCACACCGTGAACTCGGCTACTGGTATATTTCAAAGATGAAAGACTGCCCAAAAATTCGTTGCTTGATCTAAGAATTAAAGAGGCGTGCTTAAACATATACCATTGTTGCTTTTCAATGTAGATAAGGCTTGAAGCTTAGTGGCACTTTCATCATCAATCTTGAAAATACTGTGGTGGGGCCAAGACTCATTTACCAAGCACGCAGTTAGGGATTATGTATTTTCATCATTTCAAAAATCTCACGACAGAAATGCTCAACTTCAATTACTCTATATGGAAAGATGTGTCAAAACACCTTGTTAACAGTCAAGAAAACAAAACAAATGTTTGCACCAAGAACCTTTGTAACATCTTTTTATCGTAAGACAAAGAAATGTATATTTCGACATCAACTCTTTCAGCTCAAATTCCAGGTTTAATTAACTTATGGGCAAGGACACTTGACGCTAACAAACTTCCATACCTGAGTCACGTGACAAGTCTCGTTTCTCTGCGGGTTTCTCCCCTCCAGTCAAGGAAATTTTCCTTAAGCTCTTAACGAATGGGAATGTGGAGTGTGCTTCATCACTATGTTCACAAATTGGAGGTCCTAGCGACGCCTTATACTTAACGACAAGTGTCTTTCAGAGACCCATACACCGCCCCTGCCCCCCAAAGCCATTGAGGACGCGCTCTCTGAATTCGCCAAGCGAGAAGGCTGGGAGCAGTTGTATGTTTTCCATGGTAGTTCATGAAAGAATAGACATGTAGGCCTATGGACTTCATTTCAGCTCGGTGTCTTTTGAATGTAAGAGTGGATTTGTTAATTGCGGCGTAAATTCTCTAACAACCGTGCTAAACACTTCAGAGGTGGAGTTGTATGTTCGTTGCCTGGTTGGTGCTTCGCGGCGTACCACTTCAGATCAATCGCTGCCGCGATAAGTTCCATTTCGCAGAAAATCTGGACGTAAGAAAATGGAAGATAGTCACTTGACCACCCATACTGGACTAAATTAAAGTGTGCGGGAGCTAGACATGGAAAAAGGTGCATGTAGGCCTTATACCATTTATTGCGAGATTAACGGACGATGCACTTGTAAGACTGGGTTTCATCAAATGGCGAGCGTAGAAAGTGGAAGTGAGAAGCCATATTCTAGGAACTACTACGTGCTGATTGATTCACTGTAAAAGAATGAAGGATCCGAAACTGGACTTAAACGAGTGAACGTTAGAAGAGAACTGCCAGGCCTGGTCTGGTGCTGATTTGTTAAAATGCATGTGATTTTTTCTCGTGGATTTTACGCCACATTTTGGAAAATTAGTGATTGAAGAGAAGACAGAAAACATTTCTCCAGCCATAGGCCTACCACAAAATTTCGGAAACAACTTTGGATAAGAATCCACGAACTGTCAAGCTATAGTGCCGAGGCCTCAACGTGAGCTTATTAACTTCAAGGCGTTTTCTACAATGTATTCAAAGACATCAACCTTTCTGTTTGTGAAAATGTATCTAAAACCTGCCGGTGGCTGAACCCAAGGATCGCATTTAGTACGTGTGTAGCTTTCCACATTCAAAGGCTATCTGCTGTTCATCAAAACGCAATCAGTCACGCGTCTCAAGTTGAATAACTTTGAACTCGACAATAAAGAACAGCAAACAAAGCACTTCAGACTCTGATATCAAGAAATACCGTGGCCAACCTAGACCTCCAGCCTTATCTCAAGTGGCAAACAAAACGCCAGAAGAGAGGGAATTTTTATTATTGTATTGTCCGAACTTCGGCTGCGTTGACTCTATTGCCGCTCAGTTTTAATGCTGAAATATTTGATGGGAATCCAGCACTTCGCCGTTTCAATTCACGTTTAAAGTCTGTGCGCGTTGGAGACGGGTAATCCAATGGAGGCTACACGTTGCCAGACATTATGATTGGCGATCTGTTTGCCTGTGTTGTTTACGTGGAAATCATTAGTTGGTGTTGCAAGCAAACATCTTACCAATTATACCTTATAAGAGAGACGGACTTTAAGATGATTGGACGATTATCGGCAAGGAATTTATTCAAGCCTGGCGATCTTCGTAAGTAGAAATTGTGGTGACCTCAGTTGACTGATACAACACGATCGCAGGTGCTTAATATAAAGCACTAATGTTCCACTGGCAAATCACTGAAGTTTGAACCCAATATATCATACCAGCTGATGCCAGCTTGGCGGCAGATGATATGCATAGCACAGGCGAGTGGTTGAATTGTGGTTTAACGTTTAGCTCCCCAACACCTGTGGATACTGCTATAGAAAAAAAAACAACAGTATAATATTTGACTTTTTTGAACACGCTGCATTAGATTACCAGCTTTTTTGCTTTACTTTGACCGTTCGACAGCGCATTCTATCGAGCTTGTCCCCCTGCAACTTCGTGGCACCTAAACTGTATTGGGCGTTCTGCTTAATGTTCACACCTCCCCCAGATGTCATGTTTACAGAATAGTGGCTTTCGTTCGCAGGAAAATGGTGACTCGTGTGCAATTTGGGACAAAGCCAGGTCGAGATGAGAGGCATCCTAATGGCGGCAGGCAAGCTGTATAAACCCCGACTGGGCTTATTTGCGCAGACTGATATCGCCTTTAACTCGCCTCACCGGTCTACCAAAACTGGAGAGGTGAAAGCGAAACCCTTCGCAACAAAAGAGCACCCGTGGAGCGAACAAAGCAGCCCCTGCAATCTACCTTAGTGCGAGATCGAAGAGAAAGGAGAGGGGATATAGGAACACCAGTTGCCGTACAACGCTGCCAGCGTACCCCATGATTCTCAATGGTTGCCTTATGTGCATCGGCATCATTAGGCTTCATGACGGCCGCGCTTGGCCGATTATAGCGTGACTTCACACGCATGGATTCCACCCGAGCATTCGGTCGGAATGAAAGTTCCGAGAGGAAAACATCTTCCCAAAGCCAGTGATGTTGGACAAATCGAGGATACATATGCATGAGATGAAGTCGAGAAGTATTTAATTGTACTAAGTCGAAAGATGCGACTAATTTGAACCGCGGATGAGGACAAGTTTTGGGGATCGGAAACGCCCGCCCGACCTTGATTCTGAGCGTATACATGTCAACTGTACGTTGGCTTTTTGAAATCATGAACGGAATTAAAATAGTCAATAGAATTCACTGATTAGCAGAGCCAACTGGTCCATCATACACCAGTTATTCTTCCAATTTCAAGTGGAATTGTGTTTAACACTGTTGTCGTCGCCTTCCCGAAGGAGGTAAAGGCCTGCGTGTTTGTGAATTCTTAAAAGCCCAGGCATTTTGATTGTTTTTTAAAAGTTCTAGGTAGGTATTGCATTTCTGCGAACTTTGCTAATGAAAAGGTCCTTCGATGATCGATGGAAGTTTTCGAGAATTTTTAATTAGTTTTAGGAATGTGACGATGCAACATAAGACTAGGCTCTGTATTGTGTATTCAGCATGCATGGAGGGTTAATGAAAGTCGATACGTCGACCAGTGACCTCGACATGGCAATGACGTCAGAAACAAATAGCCAATCAGAAGGAAGTGAACCCACAGCTATTAACACTATGAGCCAGACCGGTGGTGGTGGGGCTGTAGAGATTGAATTAATTGTATCAATAGACAGCGATTGCGAGGGAACAAACACACCCCAGGTATTGACACGAGGAAAACATGATGAACACTCGCCGAACGCCAGTCCCAGGCAAGGGAGCCTCCCGGACATGATGCGTCTGCTACCGCCGATACGGGACCACGACTCGGACTCGGCCGTCCATCAGCAGGGACTAACAGTGGGTGCTGGCAGCCTCAGCCTGCGGTCCACCCGCTCCAACAGCCCGTTGCTGGTTCTCGATCGAAGTGGTGGGCCCGGACTCTGCTTCCGCGCCTCGGACTCTGAGAAGATGCTCCCGGTGTTGCTCCCGGCTGATGCCGGCCTGCACCCACGCTCGCACGGCCTGCTCGGTAACGGCAGCCAAGGCGGATCGCTGTCGGCGCTTTCCCGGCCGCTGTCCCCACGACATCTGTCATCGTCCTTCCCCCATCATCCCTTAAAGGACAAACCTGCCGGAATTACCCATCACCTCCACAGGCGACTTAGTGAGGATAAACACAGACTTCCTCAGACTTCAGAACCGCTTGGGAGGACTGTAGACATGCTGAACGAAACCACTGATGCCCACCCAACTATGCTACGAAGACGCTCTTGCCAGTCCCCCAACCGGATCACGTTCAAAGAGAGACGACGTGCCAGCGAGGGAGTGCTGGCAGTGTCACCGTCTCAACTGGGACAATACTCCCAAACAAAAACCCCGATCGAACTCCGTAGCCCGCAGTCGAAGACCAGCCCCTCCACTCGTGGTCACCGAGAGATCGGGGAGCTGATGTCCACCGTCCCTGGCCGGAAAGCGAAGGGGCAGAAGACGCCTCGCGGCCCGGGCCTCAATCGAATGTCGCGGCTGAGCAGCGCCTCGTTGGAGGCGGTGAACAAGCGTGGGGACCCGGACGAGAATGATTCGGAGCAGCAGCGAATTCTGCAGTGGCTGGAGGGGGTCCGACGGGGCTCGGACGGATTAACAGATAATGTGGACTTAGGGGTCGGCCAGTTTGAGCCTTTGAGCAGAAGCAGCACTGAAACGGCCATCCGGGTAATCCACAAAGATCGGAACTAATTATAGGATCACACCCACGAGTTACCATCAAAACAAGGATTACCGTTCGGATGACTGGAAATTGCACTCACAGCTGGGCCAACGCAACCATGGCATTGTCTCCTTGTAATGAAAGTGAACAAATGAATGACTTTAACGGTTCGGAGCATTGGCCCAAACTTTCTGGAAAAAAAGAAGTTCCTTTAGTCCTAATGCATATCACGTGAGCAGCAATTACCTGCAGTCGTTCTAACTATCCCCAGCTTATCTCTTCCTACAAGCATGTAATCAACTCTATGCATGCTCTGAGTGACTCACCAGCAACTTAGCATTCGAGCGCAGTGAGCCCTTTCAAAGGTTTGACTGGGGAACTGCAATCCAAAATCAATGTTATTAAGTGGTATGAACACCGAATTGTTCAGCGATTCGATTCTTGAATCCATTCAGGATAAAGAGAACCCATGGGTAGGCTAATGTCAAGAGCTCGTGAAATTCAGCCGGAACCAGGAGAAATATGTTTTAATCGAACCTCGTAGCATGAAATCCATATAGTTTTATGCATAATAGCAAATTAGTTCTCGAACATTTTAGTCTTTTTTCAGAGGCAGACATAGCAGTTGCAGTCGGGTCCGTCACATTTTCCCCCTCTCAGATGTTCAGATATAAGTCATTTCCACCAGACCACTTGTTACATTGCATAGTAGTGACCCAGGAAAGTGTTTGCTAAAGTTAATGCGAATTGCATAATATTTCAAAATTACAACGCTTTAAGACTTGACTTGACCTGGATGACTTTTGACAAACTTGCAGGGATTTGTGATGGACTCAAAACAACACTGAATTAAGGGGAAAAGGGTTGGAAATTTTCCAGTTTTGTTGCCTGCGAAAATGTTAGCTGTATCAAACACTGCAGTTTGTGATGCATGTGCACGAAACGTCTGCATGCCTTTCCATTTCTACAATTTCTAAAAGCTTACCGGTACATTCAGTTTGGAGGAACTAATTTACTTGAAATAAATGTTTACTTACACACAGATTTAAAAAACGAAATTGCTCTATTTGGCATTTTCGTTAAATACTTTTTGTAATTTTACTTAATTTTGTAAAGTTTCTTGATATGACAGATCTCTTTATGTACAACCTTTGACGGGAAACTGTCTCAACATCGAGCTCGCCAGTGTCAAGTTGTGCTTGCATCAACTGGTTGCGGCTAAAATATCATGCACGTCTATGGGAAGCGGCTGAAGCCGCTATGCATTGAGTTTCATGGACGCACGTATTGTATCCAGCCGCAGCCGTAGCATTCGGAAAGTCGTAGACTTATGCTGAAATTTTTGTGGTAACCGCCGAACCCGGACCGAATAAGCCATTTGCGACTTAAATTTGAATAAACTCCGGTACACTGTGTTATCTGATTGCATAGAAACGTAACAATTTGAATTTCCCAGACTAAAGACACTGTTGCTAAACCTCCTGATTCGGGGCAAGCTTTTGCATAGCGACCACCATCTCTAGAATGGACTGGTTCCTTTGTGCCGTTCCTATCCATTGAGAACAGTGTATTGTTGCAAGGCGTCTCTTTATGTAACTAAGCAAAGTGATAGTACGGAGAATTCAAGTTGTTACGTTCACGTGAATTTAAAGAACTCAGTGTACCAGATTTTATTCAAATTTAACTCGCAAATGGCTTATTGAGCAACCACGTTGAGTGGGGTTGGGCCAAGTTGACCTTGCTTGTCGTCATTCGTATGCCACCCCACAAAAGTAGGCCTGCGCCAATTAATTCAACTGCACATTGGACATACTAGTGTCAACACCCTGTTTCAATTTTCGAGTAAAGTAGAATAAAATTTGTGGGCATTAGAATCATTTTTGTTGGGCATCTCTCTCATGCTATGAACTGGCTGCACCACTCTGTCAGTACATGTATATGGCGAGGCCGTTGCCTGCTTATTTGAGTATGAGACACGATGGCCGTGGGTGGCTCATGAGAATCAATATTTTCTCATTAGTTGGAATTTAAACATAACACAGCATGTTTTCTCTCACTTCTGGGTGGGATTAGGTGCATTAACAGATAACTTAATACTGGAATAAAAAAAGACCGTTGATTGGCCAGGAAGACGCCTTTTGTTTTAGTTTAGAATCGTAAGTGATCTCGATGGAAGGAAATTCGTTGCGGGAAAACTTGCGGCGAAACACTTAAACCAATTTGATTTATTCTGTGTTCCCGTGTAAAAGTAGAGCGGGCGTCGGTCGTCAGATGGTCAGACGTACTGGAGTGCATGCAGAGGACAAAAGCAGCACCACGTCGGGCATGATCAACATTAAAGAAAAGGGTGTTATTAATGAGGCAGCGGTCGATCTTACGTTGCGTTTAATGGGACAAAATCCCCGGCAGAGTCTTCTTTCAAACTCGGCAGAAGAATGACAGGGGTGATACCTGGAGGCTTAATAGCCCGTGAGGCTTTTTTGACCCACGGACCAAATTTCCAGCACCGAGGCATACTTCCCAAATCACACTTAATCGGCCTGTCTGGTGTTTTTGATGCTTATTGCTTTGAACAGAGCGATCCTAGTGTCCTTTGCATCTGCAAATCAATAGAAGGAGACACCTTTTGCCTCAGACGAGGAATATTCGTTTTGCCTTACCTTTGCCTCATCAGTGGCTGGACAATAATGCACTCCGGTTTGTATGGTGATCAGGGTTCGATCCTAACGGGTCTGTCACCAGGGAGCCAATTTTCCCGTCGCAGACAATAGTGACATTTTCACAGACAGTTGCGATACAATTGTATTTTACAGGAACATGATTTCAACGTGCAGTAACTATTTGGAGACTGGAAAGGCAGTAAAAAAGTTATTCAGGGACGAGAGGGACTGTCGTTTAGAGAAGTTCAGCCTATGGGGGGGGGGCTGGATTCATGAAGGGGATTAATCTGCGTTTATTGAGCCATTCCCTGCACTTATGACCCAATTTCGTCAGAAAATGAAGATTTTATTCCAAACATAATTGACCATTGATGACTATCAGGCATTTTGCTCACGTATGAGCAAACCAGCAAACGAACAACTGATGCAGGGAAAAAAACCAATAGCTCCCGAAATAAATATTGTAAAACCGTGGATGATAAAGTGGCTGGGAATGACCTTTGGCCTTTATTAATCCTCGTTTGATTTTAGGCCTATATCTATCCAAATTAATGAATTACAGTTAGTCAACATTGAGCTATTGCCAACACAGTAATGCTGTCGCCTTGATGTCGAGTCAAACGGCAAATTTATTTGCCTCAATTAATTTCTACGATTTGACCCCTGTCCTTTTGATCGAGAAATCAATCATTTTTGATAAAAGCTCTTTTGGCCAGTTCAACACTTGACCTACAATCAAACGCATAGGCTGATCAGGTTTTTAGCCACTGTGACTGTGACCTACAGTGGGCCTACCGTAAAAACGATTGCTGTCACGGTACTTAAAAAGCCTGTCGGGTGATTGGAAATCGGAGGATGTTATTTCCTATCTCGAGAAAATCAAACTGGCTGATTGGACAATAAGCTGCTCAGCGCACACTTGGTCTCTGACCTTGATTCCTGAAGGCATGGACACAAAATAATGCCGAGGGATGTGGGAATATCCATTCACTGTGCCAAGCAAAACAATGCTTTAGTATCACTCCCATTCAATCAATTATTAAGAGGTAACTCGATTAAGGCATCACTGTAAAATTTGTATTGGTTTCAGGCAAGATAGCCGGCTTACAAGATCAGCTTAACAAGATGTAATTGATTCTGTTCTTGATTTAGATAACTTTTCGACAATCCTAACTACCTTGGTAATTTCAAGAATTTAGTGTCGATTTGAGGAGCCAATAGGCCTGCCTTCAGTTCTAACGTTATGTTTTAGGCTTATTGTTTGATTGTAATTTCATTGGGGAAAATAGAAAAAATGAAAAAAAAAAAGACATTCATCAATCAACCATATTATGATACACCAGATAATACCAAGGAATTTCTTAGCATTGGAAAAATGCAAGGATCATACAAAACCCTATTTTATGGGGGTGGGGCTTAGGGACACTAAGGGCAGTGCACGGTTTCCAGCTTCCCACTCACTGGTCATCCCCCGTCCCACTCGCCAACACAAATTTTCCCACTCAGTGGGAAAATTTGTGTACTTGTGGGTTGTTAGGAAAAGCCTGCCCCCCTTCGTCCCTTGGAATGACTCCCTTGCAAATTGCGCTTAGATGTGGCAACCGGGTGAATCAAGTACATGTACTATCTAAGGGGTGAGTGTCAGTGAGGAAAATGTTGGGAATTAGTGCTTTGAGACTGGAAAATGGGATATAAACAGTTCAGAAAATCTAGCGGCTCTTATTAGCTTTAAACAACCAGAAAATGTCTCAAGGACATTGCCCAAGCCTGTCCTCCCTCCCTAATGGCGAATGGCATGGTGGCAGCCTGCACGTGACTTGTTTGATGCAGCGCCACCAGGCCAAAATGTGCACAAACTTCTTAACAAACGTTGTCTATTGAGGGCGCTGATCAACATGCTTCTACCTTCGGGCTTCATATACGTCGTGATGCATATATGCCTCTTCTACCTTGTACCGTTAAATACCGTCGACGTGCACGGACGACCATCTTCATGCTTTTTCTAATTCTGTATCTGTGATGGTCAAATCAGTTTGGTAAGAAACAATTGAGTAACAAAGAAAGAACAAGTTGCGTTGATCAAGACGCCCTTGCCTTTAGTCCCGACATGAGAGATAACACTTCAACGAGCTACATGCATACTATAGCCTGTAAATCAAGCCACGTTTGCATGGTTTGTAGGCTTAGCGCCTACATGTAGTACCACTGCCCCGAGTCCTTAGGTTGGCCCGGAGACTCTTCTTACACTGCAGTGTGTCTGCGGCTCCTTGGCCTACCTAGCCCTAGAAATCGGGGGTAGGCCTAGCTAAGGTCGTGAAGGTTGGACGACTGCAAGAAGTCCACATGGCCTATGGATGTTTTGAATTTTTCTCTGCAGTGCAGTGATCTGAACATGCTGAAATCTAGCCCCAGACTGGCAAAGTCGGTGATGTGAAGTTAGTAAGGCCCTACCGATTCCTCGTTTGACATTTATTGTTCAACAAATAACCATTTGATATTTAACTTTGAATAACAGTTGGACATTCTGCAAGCGCTCAGGATGCACACCCCCAACAGAGCCCTTGCTGATAATCTAGTTGTAACAGAAAAGATGGAGTGGATAAGTAACAAAAAACAATAACTATATTGGTTTAAAAGTCTGTCACCTACATTTGAGGGCTTGTTTGACCCTGGAAAACCTCATGCCCTGGATTGCAAGGAGTCCTCGGTGATTAAGGAGAACAATGAGATCAGATTTTACGTAATCTTGAGGTGGGGCATGGGGTTTGAGTAGGCCTATTTTATATTGATTTGAGAAAAGTGTGGTGTGATGTATTCACGTCACTTTCCTACTCTGGTTTGCAAGCAAAGACAGTTGATAAAACTTTAGTCAAAGCCATTTTGACCGTGAAAAAATGTGTTGCCCTGGTTGAATTGGAGGCAGGGAGGTCACTAATGAGTCCAGAAACACTTTGAAAGTAAGTTTATGGATTGAAATAGTTTAGATGAAAACACTAGGTATAACTGACCATTTTGCCCACAGATAATTGTGTTGCTGTAAAAAACGTCACTTACATTCGAGGGCTTATGACATGGCCCGCGTTGCCTCTGTGGGAGAGAGTTGTGTGTGTATACCTCATGGTAAAATGGCGTGTACAATGGATGTGCATCGTGGCACATCCTGTTTTTGTCTCTTTTGCACTCCATCATTAATGTCGCAACCAGACTACCAGCAAGGACTTTGTTAGGGGTGGGCATCCTGATCGCACGCCGAATATCAAGCTGTTACTTATTCAGTGTTGGATATCAAACCAGGTTCTTGTTAAACATTGAATGTTAAATGGGGAACGAGTAACTAACTTCACATCAATTAAAAAGTCAAAGTTAGTAGTGCAAACATTGAGGTTTATCAAGCCCGAATACTTCAGTCCAGTCTCATATGGTTACCAGTGAAAACATTGAGGTATTCCTCAAACCAGAATATTTCAGTCCAGTCTCATATGGTTACCAGTGAAAACATTGAGGTATTCATCAAACCAGAATATTTCGGAACCAGTCTCATATGGTTACCAGTGAAAACATTGAGGTATTCCTCAAACCAGAATATTTCAGACCAGTCTCATATGGTTACCAGTGAAAACATTGAGGTATTCATCAAACCAGAATATTTCGGAACCAGTCTCATATGGCTTGTGCATGGTGTGCAATGGTGTCAAGTGATGTCTGTAATGGCATTCTTTCCTTGACAATGTCTTCATCACATTACATTGCGGCATCAATTCATCCTGCCATGGCAAAATTTTTACGTCATTTTTTTACACTTTTACTAGATAAAGCAGAAAGGCAAGAGTTCCATATATGAACATCACTAATTTTTTCTGAAGTGTTGTATATCAGCCAAATTTAGCCAGGAAAATATTGGAGTGTTTACTTACAAAACCCGTTTTAAGGCCGGTCTCATAGGGTTTGTACTCAAGAGTGTCAAGTACCACTCCTCCTGCTGAAATTTAGTTCTCAAGATGTATTTGTGCGTTGGGGAGATGTTAATTATATATAACGGTTTTTAATATATGTTGGGTAAGGGCAAAACCGTTATATATAATGAAATTTAGTTCGTTACACATGTTCCTTGTGTCTCACTTCCAGAGAATGTAAAGCGTGACCTAGTGTGTGGGGTTGAACCTTACAGTTTCTGGAAAGTAATGACCCAAGGTCTGGATGAATAATAGGCTTATATTCTTGGACAGTGTATTTTTAGAAAATAGTCATCTGCTTCTTAAACTGCCGATTTTGGTAAGAATAAGAAAAAAATTGACATTTTTTGGGTGATAGCCTCCACAAAGGACTCCTCAGTTGCTCAATTGTGTAAACAGAAGGCTTACAGAAGTTTTGAGGGTAATCGTGGATAGGCATTCACCGCAGTCAGGGGACAAAGTTCTTTTATTAGGGAAATTTGAACCGAGTTGTGGAGACATTTCTGAGTCCCCACAACCTTTTTCTCTACAAAATAGGTGAAATGTTGAGTGTATGTCCCCATAACTACGATGTGGGAGTGGGTGGACTTGTTATACGCATTTTAAAAATGAATATTCAAAAGAAACAAAATGTCTTGAAAGTAAGGATTGCCGTCAGCGCGGTCAAGGTAATAATGCACAAATTGTTCTATAAATGATGGCATCTTCTGTAGATGGACAAGATCAACTTTAAACAGTTCAAGCTTTGCCGTACTGTATGGTTCCATTGACCTTCTAGTTCATTTGAGCAAGTTAGTGTAGATCTTAAAATTTTGTGTGTTTGTGCTTGTTAGACGGATAGTTAAACCTATTGTGATGTCGGCACTGAAACCACCAAGACGTAAGCGTCGTGTCTACCAACAGCTAGACTCGCCATTTCCTGTCCCCATTGAGTCCATAACCAAGAAGCCGGCATCTAACAGTCGTTGGTTCTACTACACGGGAGTGCTCAAAGAGAACTGCGTGCTGGTGCAACAGCAAGGCGATGTGATATTCTTGTATAAGTTGGTAAGATATCTTGCATGCCGCCCAACAGCGTCTGTGCCGCTTGTGTTATGGGTCCCTTGACTGTGTGTGCCCACAGGCAACATGTCAGACACCCTCAAGCCTCCTTTTGCAGATTGATTTTTGGGTGCCTGATGGCAACCACAGACAGCAATGATCAGTTAAGCCCCCAAAAGTTGGCCAAATTTATGTCTTGAACCGGAAAATTGTACAAAACGATTGGAGACTGGACCCAAAGATTGAGCTGTAAGCTGCCTGAAGCACTGTGGAGTTTCAAAGTGTGTGTCTCATCTAACCGGCATGACCTCTGTTTCTGTGTGGCAGGGTTTCTTTGGCAAGGGAATGCTATCTAAGAGCAAGCCAGAGCATAGTGTCTTCCTGAACTCTTATCAAGGCCTACGCAAGAAGAACTGTAAGTCGCCGTCCTTTGAGGGAGGGAAGATGGACAGGGGGTCGAAGGAGCATGGTTATGGATTAAGCATACAGAAATTTGACCAATGACTCTAAGTATTGGGGTAATCTCAGAAAAAGGAGTCCAAAAGTGTGACATCTTCATGTCCCTGTTCTTTGTGATTTGACATGGAAATATCACCGGCATTGTTTTCAAACTATTACTTTTTGCTTTGCAGGTAATTTGCATTAATTCATCACTCTTGGAAATTAGAAAATGTGTTCTGAACTTACAAAATCATATGTCAGATGTGACAGGGACATGAAAAAATTTCTGGAATTACCCATTGGTATTTACTCAAGGAGAGTTAACGGTTGAAAATTTACACACTTTTTGACTGACAATGTCTAATTCCAACTTTGAAGACTATCCATTCCTGGCAACCACTCCTCCTCCCTGAGTGATCAATCAGAATATCTGCTCTATAGTTCAGATAAATGAATTGGATGTGCTGACTAATTACCTACACAATTGGAATTAAACACTTTGAGTTCAAGAGAACCACACAGTCAGTGGGTCATCTTTATAAACCAGTGAAAATGCCACTGAATGTGTCAGTAGTCTGGCAAAAAGAATGTTAAAAGTTACAGTTGTCTTTTAAACTTATTTTGGGGTGGAAGTCAAGGGAATGCTTTTCATGTTTGGGATTCATGATTTAATAAATCTTAGATATATTTTCAAAGAATCATTTTTTACTAGAAGTAAACTGTGCCATTCTCTTCACTTTTACCAGAAGGTTGTACAAAAGTTATATTTTTTTTGAGAAAGCAAACCTTAAATGTTAATATTATTTTCTTCAAATATTTTGTAAATGGTTTCCGCATCTTTAATGTGCATGTTTATATTTTGCTAAGTTTTTGTCTGCTGGATAGGAAAAGATTTGAAACACTTGCTTCACTTTAAACACCTTGGGTACTTGACAGTATTGCAAGAAATCAATGCAAATATTAATGCACTTTTTAAGCAGAAAATGTGGGCATAAACGTGCAAAGTAAACCTCCCGTGCTTCCCAGGAATAATCTTTGCCTCTCAAAATATTTTGAAGATTGTTGGGTAACAAGAAGAACAAGAGGAGATTGAAATTCTTAGAAACATTTTGCCGACCTGTTTTTTCAGTGGTACTGCTCCAGGTTTGGAAGGTTGCTGGAGGTATTCCCTGGCTCTGGATTGGTTTTTTTTGTTTTTTTTACTTTGTTTTTTGTTGCTTTTACCCTCTTTGCCATTAGTACCGCCAAAAGAAAGAAGGTTTCAGCAACAGAGATTTCAACAAGTCCGGAAACACAGGTACAGATGGGTAAACCTAGTTTGGGGAAGAGTAAATAGCAGCTTAGGGGGTCTTCTTTTCTGCAAGTCCCTGGCCACCCACAAAATATTCTGGAGAAAACCCACCGAATCAGGTGCATATTACTGGGACTAAAAACCCAATCCGCATGAAGGCTTTGATGGGGTTTGAAGCCGAGGTTGCAGATGTGGTAGGTAAGGAAAGTACAACTAAACCAATCTTGCATGACACGATGATGGGTGCACAGCTCCTGAGTGTCCCCTCTCATCAAAGAAATTTGAAGGTGAAGAGTTATTTAAAAATTTGCACGTTTGTGATATTTCTGGTGAGGAAAGGCAGCCAAAAGGCCTGACATAGTAGCAAGAGACCTTCTTGAAGTTAAAAAGGTAACAGTCTTTCCAAGTTGAAAACAAATGGACTTATGTCCAAGAAATATTTGACTTTGGCCTTCTATTAGCTGCATAATTGGTCCCCTGAACCCTAATAGTTCTCACTCCTTCACTTGTTGGAATGTTGAGGGCTGTTTGGATTAACAGAGCTAGATGAAAATCAGGTCATCACAATTTGATTCCCCTATACACTGGCAAAATTATTCAGTCATGGTCTGCTTTTATCATGATTAACATTCCCACTTAACTCATCGTTATTCTGCGTTTAAGGTACGAGCGACATCTGAGCTGGTCCAGACAGTTTGTCCGACAGGCCCAAAATTTGGCCGCAGACGATGGTAAAAATGACGGGTCAGCATCTGTCCATGACCAGCCTGCCTCTCCGGAGGTCACTGGAGGTCAAAGGCAAAGCTGTCCAACTCAAGGACGGAACAAGAGGGAGAGCACACCAAGTGATGATGTCACAACAGGTATCGATGAGGTCAGCCCCGTAACGGCTGATGTTGTACCAGCGACGGATGACATTACATTTGATGTCACTGTCAGAGCCACTGCAAAAAATGCTGATGTCAGTTCCAGTACCAGAAGTGTTGATGTGTTAA